AGCAAGTATACAACCCCCGGCATGCGGCAAGGTAAACTATGATCGAGACACAAAACCAGCCTCAGAAAGTATGTTGTTGGCAGCCGTGGTGGGCGCCTGACAGGCAACACCGGCAGCACGACAAACATCTGGAGCAAAGTCATGCTGGAATGCTATCTGAAAACCCTGCCTCAGCCCGCTCGTACAGAAAATACCGCGAATGGGTCTGAAGGTGCGGCGGCTCACGTGGTAGCCGTTTAGGACGGTCACCATCATTGTATTGCACCCAGCCAGCCCCATTGGATTGCCGCAGGAAAGCCACATAATGACCAGAATCGAAGGACTGTCCACGGTGGAGTACCGCTGCACGCAGAAAATAGACATAGTTCCCGCGCTCGAACTCAGGAGGCGCAAAGACAGCTGTGCGGTTCAGCTGACCGAGGCCAGTTTCGCGCACAACTTGGAGCAAAGCTACAGGGCCTAGGTGCCATGACTCAGCAGATGTCAAAGAAGTGCGCTGCGAGCAGTGTGGGCAAGGAAGACCGCCGTCTGGCACAATGGCAGGATCTTTGTCCAGCAAGTCATTGAGGGCAATGGCAGCGCAGTCATCAAACGGTGGCAGTGTCAAAGCAGCGAAGATGTGACGGCAACGGGCATCTCGAAGGGGCAAGAGCATTGCGGATGATGCTTCAAGTCGTGAAAATGATCTGCCCACATACTTTGAAAAGCTATGGTGTCTTGAGGGCCCAGCTGCAACAAAATCTCTAAGGGATCATGCTGTTCTTCAAAAGTCACACCAATCGACTCCAAGGGGTTGGCCCAAAGAGGTTGAAGGTCTACTTCTGACCCCGGCTCACTGCTTGCGCGTTCAGTATCTCGCAACGCACACGCCCAGCAGGTGCTGGCGCAGGCCCGAGTGCGCTGGTGTTCTGAAGTCGCCTTGATCATTGGCAAGCAAGAAAAGACAGATTGAAGAAGACTGGCCAGCCAGCATGAAGTCCCAGTCAGGTTTGGGAAGACGCCGCGCAGGCCTCGAGATCACAAGCATCTGTCACACGTGAAGCATATGGCAGTCTCAATGTGAAACAGCAAATATCCGAGCCTGGAGTGTTGCCATGGGCAGCGTGCATCCGCCGGTTCCGAACTTTGTGGGACACAACCCATGTTGTGTGAACGCGAACAAGCATGCTTCCGAAAGGGCATGTCACATCCGCCGGCTGCAAGATGCTGGTAGTCACCTGGGAAAAAAGGACGCGAAAGATACCAAGCTGGACACTGGCATGGGATGATGGAAGGAAACGCACACTGAAAATTCAGGCCTCGAAGTGGAGATCCGAGGCAGGCGAATGCACAGCAGCTATGCGCTGTAGCCTGTGCATAGAGCGATGAATGCTTTGGCAGGTAGAGGTTTGTCAGAAAGTGCTAGCTATGGCAAGACAAGCCAGCGCACGCTTTCTGCAGTAGGCTTCGGCGCCACTGGCGCGTGGGTCCGCCCCAGCTGTAGCTATCACCTGCTTTTTTGGATGGAAGGCGGGCGCTGGCAATAATGTATTACCGCACTTACACCTGCCGACGAAAGCAACATAGGACCCGCACACCAAGACATCTCGAGGAACAAGCCGCTGGAAGCCGCCTACAGGTCGCATCATCTGCATGCAAGCACTGACATCCACAAACCGGCAGCACTGAAACAGATGTGTCGGGGCCTTCTGCGCATCTCGCCAAGCATGATCCAAGAACGCATCATCCTGGACAACAATCATCTACAATAGACCTATAAGACACTAGCGCGCGGGAAAACGCAATCGGACCTCACCGGCTGCAACGGCTCGGTGAACAGGCCTTGGGACGAATTGGGTCTATGCGCGGCGACGGCACATAACTTCCAGGGAAAAGCAACGAGACGCCTGCGCGAAGGACGAGACGACGGAGACGGAAGCTTGGCCTGAGCGGCAGCAGGGGACAAGTACCGAAGCACAAGGCCGCTTCATGGTGATGCTGTTCCCACCCATGTATAAGGGCTCGACTACAGGCCGCTGCAACTCAAACTTCCCCGGATGGGGCTCCTATTGCCAGGAGGCATTGCCACGTATGCGTCGAGCAATGCTAGCATGAGACTGAGATCTTGCCTTGGCGTCTTCCTCGTACGGCACACGAATCCATCCCACCTGGGATAAAAACAGGTGTTGCAAAAAAAACATCTACAGAGACATAGGCCAATGCGAAGCGGTGCACATGGGGCCCAGACAGGAGTTTTCAATGTCAAACGACATCCCCAAAACTTGTGCAGGAACGCAGTCACGTTGAAATCCTGACACAGATGCGACGGATGAGTTTGTGACCGTACGAAGAAAAGAAAATCATGGCCCTACCCGCATACAAAGGCGCAGCACGACTAGCCTCGGAGGCATCCGCCCAGCGCCCGGTCATGCCTTCACAAGTATAGCACATCAGGCCCGGAATGGACGCAACCAGTCGCTTCAAGGCTGAGGCTGCGGCTAGAAGACGTGGAGCCATTGGCAAAGAGAACGAGCCAAAACTTGCAGTTCAGCTCGGTTCAAAGAAGAAAAGGTGCAGGCCACCAAGCAAGACCAAGCAAAGAGCTCAAAAGCAAACCATCAAGACACTGCAGTTTGCAGCTGGCCTGAGTAAAAGGTGCAAGGCATCAAGCCTCAGCAGAGAAACATGCAGCCAAAGTGACAGGAGAAGCACTGAGGCTGCGGCCCTTTGCCGGGAGGAGCACATGCTCCCCCCTCCTCCTGGGCCGCGACAAGACAGCTCAACGGTTGAAGGGGCTTATTGATATCCCAGGAGGGGGCCCTTCCCTTCAACCTGCCATCTGCCGCGGGGGGCTCCTGCGGTTGCCCTACCGATTTGTGTCACGGCTTCGCTGCCGCCGCATTCCAGCACGCTTTTATGTTTTGGTCGCTGCGCTCCGCTGGGGAAGCCCCGGCGCAAGGCAGACGCGACGCTAGATCCGACGTCCGACGTTGCCCGGTCTATAGAAGAAGGCCTACATCAACCATTCTTTGTGGGACGCTGGCAAACAGCGACATTGCGCGCGGCGTCTGCCAGCGCGTGGACGCGCCATGCTGCCCGCAAGCCCGTCAACCGCCCAAGCGATTGACGTTACGCGAGGCACTTACTGGACAACTGCAAGGTGTTCATGCCGCAAAAGAAAATCGACTTGTGAGATAGACTGCTTGCGGTTTCGGGACGGGGGCGCTGCACCCTGCCCCCCCAAGCCCTCCACGCTGCCGAGGATGCAGTGACGGCGCTTGTCATTTTGGTTGAAACTGAAAGACGTGCGCGCTGCAGGATCATGTTGTGATGCTGCTTGCTGCTGAGCCCCCCCCGCCCGCGCGTGGACCGCGGCTTCCAGGAAGCCATGCCGCAAGCAAGTCATGCGCATGCATGGGCGCTTGTCATTGGTCAATGGCAGGCAAGCAGACGCGCTGGAAAACCGCAAGACGTGAATACTGAAGGCTTATGATGAGCTGCTGCTTGCTGCTGGAGCCTCCCTACCGGCAGGCTATAGGACAGAAGATCGACTTGTTAGATGTGGTGAGACTGCTTGCGGTTTCGGGGGGG